GTTACTAAGTAACCTATATAGCCTATATAGGTTAAACCCTAAACCCTAAACCCTATATAATATAATATAGAGCATAACCCTAAACCCTAAACGGTTCCTAAGTCAGCTGCGATGCCGAAGCAGCTGCCAGAGCTTGTCGAACCTCACCGGGCTCCTTCCTTTGAGCTTTGCCTTGGTCGTCTTACATGAGGTCCTTTTTTTATCAGAATTAGGGTTTTTGGGATATATCCCTAAACCCTAAACCCTAACCCCTTATATGAGGTCCTTGATAATCAGAATTAGGGTTGGGGGGGGGGTATATTATGCTATAAATATAAGGTCCCCACCCGAAAAAAAAAGTGTGGGTAATAATTTAGGCCCCCAGATTAGGCTTATGGGCTCATAATGCGTAGGTTTAGGGTTAGGGTTAGGGCTTCGGGTTTAGATTTAGAGTTTAGGGCTTATAGGGTTTAGGATAACAGGGCTTATAGGGTTAGGGTTAGGGCTTCGGGTTTAGATTTAGAGTTTAGGGCTTATAGGGTTTAGCTTATAGGGTCAGGGGTTTACGTCTTTTGGGTTTGGGAAGTTTAGGGGTTAGGGTAGGATGGCATAAATCTTGTAGGTTTTCTATCGCTTAGGCGGCATGTGGCTTTGGGTTTCGGGTGCATCGTGCATAGGGTTCAGGGCTTCAGGGTTCAGATGCTGCTTCCTTCGGGCTACACCTAGGTCCCTCTTAATTCTTAGGAAGGAACAAGCTATGCGTAGTACTTTATGGGCCTTCTTTCACAGCATGAACCCCAAAGCACAGAGCAGTAAGAAGGAGCCCTGATGACCAAGACCCCTAAACCCTAAACCCTAAACCCTAAACCCTCTTCAAGAGGCTGTGTAGGAGGGTCCTGCCCTGGAAGGTGACGAACATCTTACCGAGGCGGTGGAGGCGATAGAGGCGCATAGGCAGCTCCTCTCTTCTGCAATAGCCGGTTTAGGGTTTAGGGTTTAGGGTTTAGCCGAAAAAAGTTCAAACTTTCTGAGATGGTAGACAATACAACGCCAATAAGTATATCCCTAAACCCTAAACCCTAAAAGCCAAAAACAGTATATCCCAAAACCCTCCTAAACCCTGAAACGCCAAAACAAAATAGATCCCATTGACGATCTGAGGCTCGGGAGCGTCCATGACCAGCTGATTCCCGCCGCGCCTCCTAAAGGCTTCCGCCAGCAGTGACATCACATGCACACCGAACTGCTCCAGGCCAACGGCCTTAGGGCTTTGAGGGCTTAAGGTTTAGGGAGTTTTGGGTTTAAGGTTTAGGGTTTGGGGTTGAGAGGGGTTTGGGGTATGTTTAGGGTTTGGGGGTTTGGATTTAGAGGTTTAGGGATTAAGGGGACTACGGTATAGGCTGGCCTCAAGGTGTATAGGGCTTAGAGCCTCAGGGAAGTTTAGGGCTTGAGGGTTTACGATCTGGAGGTTCGGAGGTTCGTGGGTTTAAGGTTCAGAGGTTTAACGGATTAGGGGTTCAGGCTTTTGCGCAGCCTGGTCGACCTCCTCCATGATCATGCAACGGTCCTGTTCCTGGCTAGCCGTCGCCTGGGTTCTTGCAAAGGACGGGTTTAGGGTTTAGGGTTTAGGGAACATACTAAGGAAACCCCTATGATTTACCATAGATCCATCTTATCGCACCTCATATTCCCTAAACCCAAAACCCCTAATTCCTAAACCTTAAAAGAGCCCAAACCCTGAACCTTAAACCCCGAAGCCCTAAACCCTTAAACCTTAAACCACTAGACCCTCAACCCTAAACCCCGAAACCCTAAAACCCTAAAACCCTCAAACCCTAACCCTTAAACCCTAAACCTCTAAACCCTAAACCCCATAAACTCCTACGTCCTAAAATCCCTGAACCTTGAACCCTTAATTTCCTAAACCTTAAACGAGCCCAGTCTCCGTGGTTGGGTCGATCTCCAGAACTCTCTGCGTGAGCCGAAGGAGATCATCACCTGCTGGGATGCCCCAGGAACCCGGGATTCAAAGGGCTCCCTTTTGGTTAGGGTTTAGGGTTTATAAATAGGTACCTTTTTAAGGAGCCTAAGACTTAAACAAAGAAAGAAGGGCCCACTGGGAGACCGAGTCACGCTGTTTGCCGAAAGGCTCATCGCGGCCGACGGTGAGCACTCCGTTTTCCTCTCTTCTTCAATACCCGGGCCCAAAGAAGCTCAACTTATTTAAGCCAGTCAAATCTACGCATACATACTAAATACTCTCTCTCTCTCTCTCTATGTATATATATATATATGTATATGGAATACTGACAACAAATCGCTATTCACATAAATTTAAAGTTCTCCCATTGGCTATCTAAGTTTCGGTAGCGATGTGGAACTCCTTCTTCAAAGCGTGCGCGCGGAGCACTTCGTAGAGACACCATATGCGCTGGAGTGGTGTGGCGAAGGGGTCCATGATCATTACCACGTGTGTGCAAGATGGGGCCGCAAGCGCCCGCTCGAATGGACTCTCTTGCAAAGTATTTCCCAAGTTCACCTCCCACTGCCGATTAGCAAAGGAACAGACCCAAAAGACAACCTCTTCTGTGGGCTCATAAGCCATCTCCCATGTGTCATTGCCATCATCACTAACGTAGGTGCCAGCAAAGAGGTGAAGAGCTCTCACGAAGCAAACAAACTCTTCCCCCCACCAGTGGCTCACAAACACCTGTGGTGCCAACGGCTCCAGAAGCTCTGCAAAAGCAACGCGGCGTGACTTGGTGAGAGGCTTGATGATCTTCTCTACCACGTCATACATGCTGGGCCGGCAGGCGCTATTGCTATAAGGGTTCCACTCGGCCGTGGTGAGCCTCAGCCATGAAAACTGCTTACCCTTCGAGTCTCACGGAGCCCCTACCGCCTATGATCACCCCCAAACTTACAGTCTACTCATCCATTCATACATACACATATCTATACATATATATATATATATAATAGTTATACTATATAATAGAGACATATATATATAGACATATAGATGATCCCAAAAAAAACTGAAGCCTACTCATTCAGCTACGGCGCCATGTCTTGTGTTCTGCCACGAGCCGAGTGAACTCTCGCAGAGGCACCCCCGACTCCTCCGGAGCTCTCGCAGGACCCGGGCCCAGCGCCTCTCTTGGTCTGTCTGGTGCTTAGTAGGGAATGGGGGAATGGGTTACAGGGACTACTATAAGGGACCTTAAGGGACTATCATAGGGATTCATTCCCCCATTCCCTACTAAGCACCGGACAGTCGTCTGGGTTCTTGTTTGGGGGGGGGCCTGCAGAGGGTTTAGGGTTTAGGGCTTAAGTTACCACAATAAAGAAACTGCAGAGGGCTTAGTTTAGGGTTTAAGTTACCATAAGAAAGAAGCCATATTATTTACTATAGACCCCAATTATGGTACCTTAAACTACATCCCTTAACAAGAACCCAGTCTTCTGCAAGAACCGCTTAGGGTGTACAGGTTTTGTGGTTTGGGGGTCTCGGGCTCAAGGGCCCAAACAGGGTTGAGAGTTCAAGGTTTACTATATGGGGCAAAAAAATTGACAGTTCTTCTAAACCTTAAACCGCTAAACCCTAAATGGCCATCTAAGGTGCTTCGAAGAGCCAACGCACGAAAGGCACCAACTTCAGATCTCCGGGAAAAGCCTCACAAAGCAGTTGGCTTAGGGTCTGGGGTGGCGGCTTATAAGGTTTAGCGGGTCAGGCAATTTATCGGGTGTTTTGGGCTTTTGCAGGTTGAGAAACCCCAAGCCCTAAACCCTAAACCCTTTACGGTTTATAGGGTTTAGGGGCTTAACGCTTACAGGTTGAGGAACCCTAAGCCCTAAACCCTTTACCTAAACCCTAAACAGGGTTTAGGGGCTTAAGGCTTACAGGCTGAGAAACCCTGAACCCTAAACCCTCTACCTAAACCCTAAACAGGGTTTTGGGGGCTTAAGGCTTTGAGGTTCAGGGTTTCTGTGACTTCTCGGCCTCGCAAAGCAGTGATACTTCCAGGGTGGACATCGAAAGCCCCTGCAGGAGCAAGCGGAGACCCGACTCGTCCTTTAGGGCTTTAGGGGGACTCTTGGGGCCTCCGTGCCGAGCGCTTTTCTAGGGCTTTAGGGGTTTAGGGACTTTAGGGCTTTAGGGCTTTTAGGGTTTAGGTTGTTTTAGGGCTTAGCGTTTTAGGGGGCTTTAGGGCTTTTAGGGTTTAGGCTGTCTTAGGGCTTGAGGGGTTTAGGGATTTTAGGGCTTTTAGGGTGTAGGTCGTTTTAGGGCTTAGCTTTTTAGGGGTTTTAGGGTTTTAGGGCGTTTGGTTTCCAGGATTGGGGGGGTGTAGGCTTCAGACTTTAGGGTTTCGGGATTCCCTAAACCCTAAACCGACTTGACATAGGCCAACTCGTCCTTGAAGTCCCCATGCTTGGCAGTCCAGGCTTCGCAGTGGGCGATGACGGCATCCGACATGGCACTGGCCCTACTAAACCCTAAACCCTGAGCCCTCAAACCCTAAACCCTAAACCCTAAACCCTAAACCCTAAACCCAGAACCCTAAACCCTAAACCCTGGCGTTTCTTTGCAAAGCAACACTTCCTTCGCAGGTCTTGGGCCCAAGGAACCTCGAGAAGGATGCAGTTCAGGGTTTAGGGCTGAGGGAACCCTGAACCTGAAACCCTAAACCCTAAACCCTAAACCCTAAACCCCCTAAACCCTAAACCCTAAACCCTAAACCCTAAGCCCTGAAACCCTGAAGGCTGAGATTTAAACCCTAAACCCTCAGCCTTGAACCCGAAACCCGGAATCCAAAACCCTTAGAGCCGTACGGCAAGAACCAACGCGAAAAGGGCTTAGGGTTTCGTAAAGCTCTAAATAAGTTGCAGTCTTAAATCCAAGAAGTTTGAGACTCCTGTCCAGGTTTGGACTGCCACCAAGTCCGAGACCTCAAGATTGCGCAGAAAATGAGGGCCCCAACCCTTTATCTACATCCCTGAACCCATTGAGGCAAAGCTGCGATGATGCAATCAAAAATGTTCCAACCACGGTCCCGCCCGCAGAAAAAGGTTTTGCATCCGAATGCCATGAGCTTGAGAATGATCTCCTGACGGCCAGTGGCGAGCCCAAGGGTTCAAGCACCACAGGGGAACAAGCTTTGGCCCAAACGGAATCCCTTCTTGCCACCTTCCGCGCCGATGTACACACTATTTCCTTAAGGGATTTGAGGACCGAACAATGATGCACGCGGGTTGCGGATAGTAGTTCTGTAGGTTACTATGTCGAAGAGTATACGAGTTTCACTAAGTACTTGGGCGTTTCGGGCTTCGGTAATGTAGGAGCCTTAACAAATTAGAATAGGGTTTTGGGGTCCTTCATCGTATACTGATAATAAGGAACCCCCTAAATAATGCAGGTAATTATTGAGGCCCCTACAGTAGGTTGGGACCTTCGGGTGAGTTTGGTGTTGGCATCCACCAGCCAGAACAATACATGACAACTACAGGATGAGAGTGCACTCTGACAAGAACCACGGTATGGGTAGGAGTTTAGGGCTTAGGGTTTGGAGTTTAGGGCTTATGAAGCTGCTAGATAATGCCGGATCACAAAAACGTACATCTGTATGTATGCATGTATGCGTGCATGCATGTATGTATGTATGTATGTATGTATGTATGTATGTACGTATGTATCTAATGTAAATGCATATATATATATATATATGTATATATTTCTCGCTCTTTCTATCTATCTCTCTCTACTTATTTATATGCATATGTACATGTATTGGCTTCCGAGCTTACTGTCGAGTTTGAGGTTTAGGGGCAGGAGAAAACTACAGCGGAAGCCGCGGCTGTCCAGCACGAAGAGGCAAACGATGCTGTTGTTGATGATGAAGAAATAGTCCTGCAAAGCGACACGTGGTTTCGGGTTCAACAATTTCGGGCTTTCGTTGGTTCCAGGGTTGAGGGATGGGGGTCTTAGGGTTCACGGTTTCGGTAAGGCTGTCGGTTGTTGAGAAAATGTACAGCGACTATCTCATTCCCTCCTGCAGGCAACCCCGGCGCTCTTTGTGTGCTTTGCCTCCTTGCTCTTGCTCGAAGCCACCACCTCTGTACCGCAACCACATACCACAGTTTGATCTTATGAACTCCAGGAGCCATACGCCCCAAACTCTAAACCAATTAAGCAGTGCCCTAAACCCTAAACCATAAATCAGTGCCCCAAAACCTACACCCTAAATCAGTGCCCTAAACCCTAAACCCCTAAAACAGTGTTGTGCCCTTGAAGTGGTATCAACCGAGGTTCCCCTACTGGAAATGCCGTCTGAACTTTCTGTTTCATGTCGTGAGTTCAAGCACACCATGTACACTCCCAAAAAAAGCTTTCCAGATCATGCCTGTTGAGGCTTTTAGGTCTCAGGTTTGGGGGTTTAGGGTTTAGGTTGAAAAGACGCGACCAACAAACCCATGCAGCTGAGCTGAAGACTTGTCTTCGAAGGCTCCAGTCTTGGGTCTTGCGACTGCAGTCACTCCAAGGCCCCAGAACTACAAAGCAATTATTAGGTCGACGATGTAAGCGCCTAAGGAAGGTTGATGGTGTAGGAGTAGCTAGGGTTTAAGGTCTAGGGTTCACACACCATAAGACAAGACAGCAAAAGCAACACCAGTACAGAACTGTCATAGCTGTCTTCAACTCAGTACCAGGGAACAGCGAGAACACAAATAACACACCCTCGGCCGTGCTGGTTCAATTTGGTAGCCCCAGCCTGAGCTCAACAACCTAAACCACAGACTAAGGCAGCCATACGTCGATCCATGATGGAGAGACACTGTGCTTAAAGCTATGAGTCGAACCATGGCTATGGTGGCCATGCTTAACTTACATTGCTGAGACGTAGATAGACCTTGGTCTTCATCCAAGCCGAATGCGCAGGCAACGTGACGGTCCGGATTCTCGTCCGGTGGCAAATGCCGCGAAGCGTCCACCTGTCGGAGCTGCAACCCTTCACGCCGCGAAGCCGAACATATACAAGCAACCATCCCGAAGGGTCCATGTGTTCATATAGCATATACATGGGCCCTAAAGATTATAGGGACTACATTAAGGCCAATGTATATACTATTTGGGTACATGGACCCTTAGGGCATGTTGTCTCCACACTTGAGAGCTTGCTGGAGCTTGCTTTGTAACCTCGGACGGTAGCGCTGTTTGTGTGGCAGAACCTGAGAGCTAACCTCCGGAGGAGACAGCGGCTGCCTCCACGCCGAGAATTACCATGTTGGCGAGGATGAGGAACATGATACCTTCAGTTCCAGCTGGGGTAGTCTTTTGCCGTCGGAGGTTGTTGTTAGTGGGATCCGGCGTTCAGGCTTCAATGTGCTTTCATAGTGGGATATAGCTTAAGGGGATTCGTCTGTGAGGCACTAGGATTTAAGCTTCCCGTCTGGGCTCAGGACGTTGGCTGCCAGGTAGGTCGATAGATAGATGTATGTACATACATGTATATATATATATATATGTATATATATATATGTACACACACACATATATATATATATATACATATGTGTGTGTTTAGTATCGACATTTTATTGCGACTGGAAGCTGATACACGGTGATACTACGTATTACCAAGCATCAAGCCGTCTGTATTGGAAAGCCTGAAAACTGTAGTGGAAAGGGCCGCACCTCGGGCTTATTCAGGTGGTCATCATGAGGGAATGCCCTTGAAAGCAGGCATCCCGAACATAAGAATTCGACGAGCACCTAGCTGCGGGCCTGTAGGTGTACGTGAAGGTCCCCACAAGCGCTACGTAGTAACTATGTAGTTCCGAAGATGATGCCCGGATCCGCCCGGATCCCGTTCGTATAGGTTCGGATTTCTTTCTGCATGTTCAGGGTGTCAGTGCTTGAGATGTTTCGTAGCGGCTGCAGGCCGCCGTGCCCTGCAAGCCAAACGGGGGGACGAACCAAACCAATCGTGACATGGGCATCCACCACACCCTAAGCACTACGCTCCGAACCCTAAACCCTAAACAACAGCATCCCGAGCTCAGGAAATAGCCCACAACCAAATGCCAGCAGCCGCCATGTCCAGCAAACATGTCACAGGCATCTAGCATGACGGGGAGAATCAGTAGAGCACCAAATCCTAACATAGACCCAGAAACCCGAATGTTGGAAATGCAACGTTTCGCCCGAAGCCCTGAAGCGTAATCTTCACAATCCCAAATCTTACATGAAAATCTCCTGGCGCTTGTTTGTAAAGATGCAGAATCTACCCTAAACCCTAAACCGAGCCTAAACCCTACAAGCCATAGAAGTCAAGCGTTCAGTTCTCCACCCAGCTATTCAAGGCCTATTGGGGGGTCCTGGCAGGGTTCAGGGTTCAGGGTTTAGGTTGTAGGATTCAGTGTTCAGCGATGCTATGACTGCGACGGTAAAAGAGGGACGAAACCTGTCTACAGTCTCCATCGTAGTTTATATACTTTATGACAACTATTGCTATACTTCTTGAAAGAAGTAGGGTGATTATGCCCACGTGCAAGCCCTAAAGGGGTGCGGTGTAGGGTTCGGGCTTTTGGGCCTTATGCTTTAGGGTTTTTTTGAGGTGTAGGGTTCACGGTTTTGGGATTTTGGGCTTCGTGTTTGGGGTGCAAAGTTGAAGTCATGCCCCTAAACCCTAAAACCTAAACATGCCAAGATGCCATAGCCAAAAGCAGACGAGGTTACGACCTTCCAGGATGCCATGCTAGTGCTGTTGTTGTTGCTGCTGTCATTCTTGTCGTTGTTGTTATTGTCGTCGTTGTTGTTGTTGTTGTTGTTGCTGGAGTTGCTGTTGCTGTTGCTGTTGCTGTTGCTGTTGCTGTTCCTGTTGCTGTTGCTGTTGCTGTTCCTGTTGTTGTTGGTGGTGTTGACGTTGGTGCTGGTGCTGGTGTTGCTGTTGCTATTGTAGCTGTATTATAAAGTTGTTGTTGTCGTTGGTGCAGTTGTAGTAGTTGTTGGTGGTGTGGTTGCGGTTGCTGTTGCAGTTGCTTTGGTTGTGGTTCAGGGTTGTTGTTGTTGTCGCTGCTGCTGATGATAACGTTGACGAACAAAATTTATTCAAATATGGCAATCATGGTCAACAGTGTGTTGGAAAACGACGCTGGTGGTGGTGGTGGTGGTGGTACTGATTAGTAATGTAAACCATGATGGCGACCTTGAAGAAGGCGAAGCAGAATGCGATCATGCTGAATATTCTGATGATTATGATGATGTTGATGATGATGATGATGATGACGATTGTGCTGCTGGCGGTGGTGCTTCCGTTCAGAGTGAGCCTCATGATGAGTATGACAAGTGTGCTGTTGTTGATGATGACGATGGTACTGGCAACGACTACCTTGGCAAGGACAACATGGTCAGTGTTACGACTTGATGACTCGTCCGGAATAGGCTTGTATCTCTTGTAGTGACTGCTGCAATGCTCATTTTCAGACCACCAGGAGGATCAAGACAGTAGAAACCCTCATTAATTTGAGACCTAGACTACTAAGGGGTTCCTACAGAACCCCCTTCAAGGATCTACTTCTTGGATCCTTCAGGCAGTCTGGGCTGCTTTGATTTTAACCAGGTTCCTCATTATTCAGATCACACCCAAAGACAGACAATAGGGTTTAGGGCTTAGGGACTAGAACCTTTAACCCACTGAAACGCATCATAACGCATATGTTCTGCAACAGTCCATCGCATTGATACCATAACGAAAACCCTGGTCTCTAAATCTTCAGTTTAACTATTCAGAACCCAGGAGCATGCAAGCCCACTGATGAAGTTCCGAAGAGAGCTACCCTAAACCCTAAACCCCAAATCTTCAAAATAGCAGATTGCTCGAAAAGTTGAAAATTATGACACCCGGGCCATGAGCTCAAGACTAGGGTTTAGGGTTCAGGGATTAGGGTTTAGGGTGTAGGGTTTCGGGTTTAGGGTTTAGGGTGTTGCCCAAGCCCAGGCTTAAAGACATGGAAGTCCATATTACATGGTGGAACTCCATGCTACGTTTTGGAACTCCATGTTAGTACTATATTGTACCAACTACATTTTTAGCTTAAAATGTTGAATTAAATACACACTATATTATGAAGAAGCATATTGCATTACCTTACCTTGAGGTATCATATGCTTGTTTTCGTATGTTACATACAATGCCAGGTTATATTGCATTATGACAAACTAGTATACAATATGCCAGAACCGTCCACTGCTTCCGCCTTCCGCAGGACGGCGGATGCAGAGCCATTGTTCGAATCTGCAGTCTTGTCGGACCTGGAATGGTTCTTTGGGGTTTGGGGCTTTCTTGTTGGGCTTAGGCCCCAGCGTCTAGGGCTTAGGGCTTTGCGGGTGCTGGGGCTCGGATTTGGGCGTGTTCCCTTCCCGTGCATCCTCATCATAATGGAGTATGATTCGCTGGATTCTCACATCCCTTTTCCCTAAACCCCTAAACCCCAGACCCCCAAAAAAACCTTAGAGCCCAGACCCCCAAGCACCAAAACCCCGAAACGCTACACCCAAACCCCAAACGCTATAAACCCTAAACCCTATAAGCCTAGACCCTAAATCCTGTAATTTCTATAAGCCCTAAACCCTATAAACCCTAAACCCTAAATCCTATAAGCCCTATAAACCCTATAAGCCCTATAAACCCTAAACCCTATAAACCCTCAACCCTAAACCCTATAAACCCTATAAACCCTGAACCCTATAAACCCTAAACCCTTAAAGGCCTAAACCCTATGAACCCTATAAGCCCTATAAACCCTAAACCCTATAAACCCTCCACCCTAAACCCTATAAACCCTATAAACCCTATAAGCCCTAAACCCTATAAGCCCTAAACCCTTAAAGCCCTATAAGCCCTATAAACCCTAAACCCCGAAGAGTCGGCCCACATCCGGGAGTCCTGCCACCCGGAGTCCTCCCATAGGCCCTAAAGTAGTCCCCTTTTGGGTTTAGGGTTCATATATAGAATCCTATAAGGTAATCCCAAAAAGGAACTACTACGGGGCCTATGGGCTATAAGACTCTTTTTAGGGTTGCTTCAGGGTCTTGATGGTTCAGGGTTTAGGGTTTGTATACCTTATAGCAAGGTGGGTTGTTTGGGGTTAGGATAGCATTTAAATCTTAAGCCCTGAGGTTTTTGGCTGGTGGGATGCTCCTCAAAAGAAAGTAGCCCTCAGCTATTTCGAGCGTCACTAGCGGGCACGAGATGGAGATTTCTAAGAATTAGGGGTGCGCATGTAGAAACCTAGGACCTAAACCCTAAAACCCTAACCTTAAACTGTACATTCCTACGCCGTAACGTTCCAACGTTCTAGGCCCTGTACTCCAGATCCCAACCCGCTAAAACCAAACCCGAAAGCCGGTTTCGGGTTTAGGCTTTAGGGTTTAGGCTTTAGGCTTTAGGGTTTAGGGTCACGAAATGCCTGATGGTTTCGGGCTCAGTGCAGGGTTGAGGCTTCGGGACCAAATCCCAAAACCTGCACCCTGACCCTGACCCGACGTAGCCTCAGCCGCAATACAGGGGCCCGAAAAACATTGTGAACAAGGTTCCCATGAAGGCCCCACCCATAGGCCCCATAGGATAGGAGTTCCTTTTGGGGATTCCCGAATAGGATTCTAAATATGAACCCCCAAAAAGGAACTACTTTAGGGCCTATGGGTAAACCCTAAACCCGAAACCCTATACCGTGAAAGGCTCGATCCGGGGTTTGTAAAGGCTTAGTCTGGGAGCCTTTTTCGTTCGACAGGGGTTGGAACATGTTACATCATCGGGACCCTCAGTGGGGTAAGGGGGAGGGGGGTAGGGGACTATACTTCCTGACATTAAATAGGCCTGTACATCCCTCTGGGGGAGTTGCTCTATGCTAGGCTTGTTTTCGATTTCATCAATCCGAAGATCAACCCTCAAGCTGAGTTCCTCTTAATCCCAAACCCTGACACTCAGAAATCCATGACCATAGCTGGATGCCCCCGGAGAGTCCAATGCTTGGAATACCTCCAGACGTCCTCACTCTTCAGCATCTAAGTTGCATGAAGGATCCACTGGCACGCAAGGCTCTCCTAAGGCATCACAGTTTGCTGAGGAACACCCTGCAGCTGACGGTTCTGGGCTCAGGGTTCAAGGCTTCGGGGTTGCAGGGCTTAGGGTTGTAGGGTGTGTGGTTTAGAGTGAAGGAGCACCTGTGCAGGATCACAGAGGGCCGCCCTTCAGCTTGCGCTATTGCAACTGTTCACCCGCTGGTGGCTTGCATCAGCAGCCAGAGGCAAGAGTCAAGAATTTTCGCTATAAGCCCTATAAACCCTAAACCCTAAACCCTAAACCCTAAACCCTAAACCCTAAACCCTAAACCCTAAACCCTACTCAACAAGTTTCGCTATAAGCCTTGAACTGCTGGGTTCAGTCGCGGCAACATCCTCTCGTTGGGGCCTTCATGAATCGCCGTAGTACTACTGCAGAATCTGTAGTATCCCTAAACCCCAAAACCCTAAACCCTAAAACTGTAGCATACTATACTGCCGAGCTGTGGGCTGATTGTATCCATGGAGGCGATCCGTAATCCCACAACCCATACCAGAAAAGTGTATAACCCCAAGACGACCTCCGCCAACCCTCAGAGGACCACCCAACCCCAAACCGGGCCACATGATCCTTCAGTTGCAAGCAAGATTTTCGATTCAAGGAGTGTAATGCAATGCCCTACATAACTAGACCATGGATTCTCGGCACTGTAAACTATAGCTATATTCGAGAGCCCCAGGGGCAACTCCTCCTGATCAGTTAAGCCCCTGCCTTCGGTTGAGGGCTTCGAGATATATGCAATCGAGTGTCCGCTGATGTTCGTTCAAATCTTTCTTCTCGTTCGACAGGGATTGACGAACGCCGTGCCCGTGCCCGTGCATCATGTTCTTGACGAGCTGGACAGGGCTGAGTTTCATTGCGTGCTCTCTTCTTCCATGCAGCAGGATGGGTTATGGCTCAGATCCCGAAACCCTACGCCACAAAACCTAAACCCTAAACCCTACACCACTAAACCCTAAACCCGATATAGGCTCCTTGCGGCAGTTTTTCAAGAAAGTGCTACTGCTGGACCCGGAAGGTGGATTGATGTTCTCCAGGTTCCCGTGGCGGACGCCGAGCCGCTGCCGATGCTAACAAATCCTAAAACCTTGAGGACCTAGACCCTTACAAATGAGCCTTGTACGAACACGAAGCTGATGTTAGCAAGGATGAGGAGATGAGTGAACCTGGTGTTGCGCAGTGACGATGGGGGTGGTGAGGATGATGAGTCTGATGAAGATTATGGTGGCGATGATCCAACATGGTGACTAGGGCTATGATGATGGAGATACTGGTGGTGGCCGCAAACCCTAAACCCTAAACCCCAAACCCTAAACCGCGCGAGGCTGACGAGGATGATCATCTGATGGTGACTGGGATGTCACGCCAATGAGCGTGGTGGTCATGAAGCAAATGGCTGTGATGTCGATACTTCCAAGCTTCACTGCAACCTCCCTCGGTGTCGAAGTCAATAGTCCCGCCCAAACACAATTATATTTAGGGCTCTATACTAAAACAACAAGGAAAATTAACAGTTATTCCGAACCGATACCTAGTAAACGGCTAGGATGGTGATACCTCCCATGCTCACTGCAACTTCAAAAGGGAAAAGCCTAAACCCAAATCCTAAGCCTCGACTCTGATTCCTAACGTGGTACCTCAAATTGAATTTCCCTAAGGTCCGGGGCTTAGAGTTATACGGTTTAAGGTCTAGGGTTCGGGGTTTGGGGTTTAGAGGCTAGGCTGTAGTAGTGAACATAGGAGCACTCAGGAACTCAATGCCAAGAGCAGCGCCGACGAAGCACAACGGACCATTCTGCCCGCAGACACGAGCAGAGCTACGACGAGAGTCTTCATCAATCTCGTACAGGTGCCGAAAGCCAAAGCCCTACACTCCCTACACTGCCCTACACCCTAACAGACCAACACCCTGCATAAAGCTAACCCTTCAAAAAAGCAAAAAACACCCAAACCCTGCCAACCCGAGCGCTCCGGAGAGCTTGTACTTATATTAGCCCCCATCTAAATAAAGGCCTTGCAGCCTAAAGCCACTCACTCCATAATGCCAAACCACCAAAACAAACGAAACTGCCTATGTCCAAACCATGGCACCATTTAAAGTCCTAAACCCTAAACCCTAAACCCTAAACCCCATAGACTTCGGCTCTCATGCTAGTCCTCTATTTTCCAAAGCCAAGGGCGCGGACGTTGCGATGTCCCTCCCGTTAGAACCCTCAATACCCTAAGCAATCAGTGATGTATGTAGCCCAAAGGGTCCAAAGTACCTATATAGTAGAATGTGGGGTTTCTATATTAGGAATTGTAATAATGATTTGGGGAAGTATGCCCCATAACAGTACCTAGGACCCTTAGGGAAGGGCCTTAATACTGAGAAACGGGTTTTTGGTGCGTAATAAATATACTTAAACTCCCCCAGAGCCTGAATCTAAACTCTACAGCCCCAAACCCTAAACCCTGAACCCTAAACCCCAAACCCTGAACCCTAAACCCCAAACCCCAAACCTGTGAACCCTAAACCCCAAACCTGAAACCTGTGAACCCTAAACCCCTACTCCTCTAGGTGACTCAGACGGCCTGGCTGCCGAGCCCCAAACTGAAACTGCTCCCGATCGTAGATGGTCGTGCTGAACGTCCTTTTGGGCGGGGTTTAGGGTTTAGGGTTTTAGGGTTTAGGGTTTAGGGTTTAGGGTTTAGGGTGGGTTTTCTCATAGTTTTGGGGTCCTTTAAGGGGTCCTTTAAGGGACCCCTTTAAAGGGGTCCTTTAAGGAGTCCTTTAAGAAGTTTAGTGCTTGCAGGAATTCTGGAAGGGCTCCTGCAAGGTCTTCTATAAGAAATGGGGGCTCTGGGACTTGCTGAAAGGGTTTTAGGACTTCGGGTTTAGATTTTAGGATTTGTAGGGTTTGGACGGTTTGTAGGGTTGTGGGTTTAAGGGCTTGCGGCTTAGGGCTTGTATGCTTTAGGGCTTGTAAGGTTAAGGGCTTGCAACGTTCAGAGCTCGTAGGGTCTGGGGTTTAGGCTTTGTCAGGTTTATGGTGTAGGTGTGGGGGATTAAGTAGGATTTTTAGCAGTTGGGTGAGGGCCTGTGGAACTTCTAGGGTTTAGGGTGTGCTGGGTTTGAGGTTACGGCTTTGTCGGGCTTAGAACTGGTTGGGTTTGCGGATGAGGGTGTGGGCTTTCAGGTGCCAAG